CTTGAAAAAAAGAAAGAAGAGGAGGCGGAGCTAATGCCTGATCAGAATTCTACCTGAGATAAAGTTACATTCGGTTGTGATAAAACGCCATCCTGTTTAAACCACGTCAAGGATTATTTCTGAAATAGTATGGAGCTCAAATGCTTTTTCTCTTGCGGGTTTATCACAAAGTGAGTTCTTTTTTTATTTCCTGCTTTTTAAACACATGTGCTCTACAGTACAGGTTAGCTCTGAGTGTTAACGAGGCTTGCTAATTTGAACAAAGACGAGATTACGTCCAAAACACGTCAGGCATTGTTTCTGATAGCAACTTTCTGTGGGTCCGCCAACGTCAGTTCGGATGGAAATCTGTATCCGCTCGTTGTACCCCCGTTTTTAAAAGATTTGGGTACGGAGGAAAAGAGAGAGGGTTTTATCTTATTTTTGCTGCGTGAGTTCCCCGACGCAACGGGGACACATATTTATTTTTGTAAAAGACATCAAAAAGTGCATTTTGCATGGTAGGTCCCCTTTAAGTAACTTTTTGAACTCAGAACTTGTACTTGTAATAGAACGTTTAAAATGTGGTATTAGTACTTTTGCTTTAGAGTATCTGAGCACGTCTTCCACCATTGCCTAATGGTGAATTTGCAGATTTATTCTACAGTAAACCAGCGTCACAAAAACTGACTGAAAGTTACTTCTTCACTGGTGCAATCACTGCAATGTCATTTCTGACCTGATGATGTCACTCTTGCTCCTCTAACTCTCTAACTCTCTGTCTTTCTTTCTTTCTTTCTTTCACACACAGACGCGCGCGCGCGCACACACACACACACACACACACACACACACACACACACACACACACACACACACACACACACACACACACACACCCCCGGATGGATGACTTCACCGTTCTGCCTGGGTTTCCTTTATGATCCCGGGATCTCCCACTTCCCTCAGCAGACAGCAGCCAGCAACACAGGCGAACACAGCTCTCTCTCTTTCTCTCTCTCTCTCCTTCTCTCTCTCTCTCTCTCTCTCTCTCACACACACACACACACACACACACACACACACACACACACACACACACACACACACACACACACACACACACACACACACACACACACACACACACACACCCTCACTCTCCCTCACTCTCACGTTGAAGCTGCCTGCAGCTGCAAAACATCCAGAGACCACAGAGAGACCACAACAACAGCCGGACCTCAGACGCTGGTGTCCCCTCATCTACACCGAGTTACATTCAGAAAGGACCCAGCAGGAAAAACACACCGTCCTCTGCAACTTGCACCAACAAAGGAATCTAAGGCTTTATTGAAAATATAAAGCCACTGGGGAAGACTTTTATCTACTTTCTATTTGCTCTGGTGATCCTTCTTGTGTCGTGCCACTATGTCCGAGGTGCTGCCATACAACGAGGGGAAAATGAGCGGCTACGGGGCGGACAGCGAGGTCAGTCAGATGTCCTTTAGCTGCGGACTGCAGGACACGAGCGCCTTTTTCGCAGGGTCGCAGGCGAAAAGACCCCCAAAGCTTGGACAAATCGGAAGAGCCAAGCGAGGTAATGGATAGTGTAATAGCACTTTGTCACAACGACGTAAACATGGCAAGAATGATGCAGGTGATGGAAAACATGCAACATCTGCTAGGATTTATAGTCAGTTTATTATAATGCTCTCATTCGTATAATCTAGTTTTTATTCAAATTGTGTGTGTCCATAACATTCGAGTCTACATTTAGATATTTGCAACACAGGGTAAATACTTCTTTGTTGCACGAGTCTGTTTACATGCATGCACGAGACATGATCTCCGTAAGGACACACCCCGCACTGTTACCAAAACAATAGAAACCGTAGTGATGAAAGGCTGGCTCGTCGCCATTACCGGGAATGAGTTGGCTTCACCAAATGCGCTTACCAGAGGTCGGGGATTTGCAATGCTTTCATTTTTATTTATCTATTCACCTGCAGTATTGTCAAAAATGTTTTCTCCCTTGCTTTGGTTATTCAGTGTTCCCCCTTTACTCTAGGCCGTAAATACGAATCAGTTGACCTTACAATAAAACCCAATGATCTCAGTATTGACTGTGATATTATAGAAATGTCATCATGTATCTCTGCTGTAATGGTCTCAGTAAACATCCCCCCCTTCTCTCCCCACTCTCTCCCCACAGTGGTCATCGAGGATGACCGAATAGACGAGGTCCTGAAGGGGATGTCAGACAAGTCTGATCCCGGCGTTTAAACACGAGCGAGTCTTGCAGACTTTTTATTTTTGATCACCGATTTGAAGCACTTGTCGGCTGTGCATGTTCGAGGATTGCAGGAGAATAACGACGGCACGAAGCGAGGATGGAGTGACTGACGAACGGCAATGAAAAGAGCAGAACGGGGGGAAAATGGAGAAGGATGAAGGTTGATAAATGAAGATGACAGATGATGAAATAAAGAGAAGGAGAGGGAGAGACTCTGGAAAAGACCAAGATGTATCATGGGATTGCTGGCAATTCTCCAAACGAATCCCGATTTTAAGTACTGCTGCGCAGCGAGGTGTTGAGATGGCGGACTCCGCTCTGTATCTAACCTCTGCTGACTTTAATGATGGATGAACTTGTCATTACTTCACGACCATCTATTTTTCCTTTCCAACAGCGTTGTAAGCAACACAATACTGCAACTGGAGACTGAAGCTAAATCCCAGCCCTATTTCAATAAGTTGTACTGTAGGTAGGCTAAGCTCTCAGACGTCCCCCTTCCTCCCCCCTCCCCCTCCTTTAGGCTTTGCTTTGTTGATTCAGTAAGCGACGGTGCATTCAAGGGAGCTGTCCTTTCAGCACTGATCCAATGCATTCCTGTTGCTGCTAACGCTTTTTAAAAACAGACCAACCAAACTCTCGAGTCTGCTAAATAGAGGAGACACATTGTATGTAAAAAAAAACATATATCCGAGGACGGTGCAATGTTAATATATTCTGTAGTAGAAGCCCTGCTTGTTTTGGCCCTTAAAGAACATTAGGCCACTGATTAAACCTGAACCACAGGCTACACGTTCTTCTTCTTCTTCTTCTTCTTCTTCTTCTTCTTCTTCTTCTTCTTCTTCTTCTTCTTCTTCTTCTTCTTCTTCTTCTTCTTCTTCTTCTTCTTCTTCTTCTTCCATTACCCATCAGTGGTTAAGGGTGCAGCTTGGCACCTTCATGTAGCTGATTTAGACCTGCACATATCTCTTGTTCCCTTGTTTTTGCATTCTCAAATGCTCCGATAACTACAGAGGCCAGCACAGATTATATAAAATGTTTAGAAAAGTCATGAAATTGATGGGAAAAAAAATTATGCTTTCAAAAATGTGTTTATTTTTTAATTCGCAGTTATTTGTGTACCCTCTACTATACGTTTTTTCTCCATCTATTTGCATGAACTTTCACTACTCTTACCCTGGCACGCTTCTTTTTTGACAAAAGTCATATTTGTATTTTTATATCTAAATATTTGTTATTTAAATGATATGCTAGTCTATCGTCTTACAATTCATCAACACAAATATTTCTACTTCAGAGAGGATATACAGGATGAGACTAGGCTTCATGGAGGTGAAGCTAAGGTTTTGGTGGACTGGTCTCATTCTATATCACCAGTCGGGCGTTTTTTAAAGACTAACTGAATGTGTCTGGGGTTTTGCACACATCAATGTTAAACTATTATTAAGAAATCGTATACTGTGACTTGAGCTTCGTTGATGAATTTGTTAGAAAATTGCAGTTTTAGAGTATATTGCACTGTTTACGAGTATCCTCAAATAACCAGTGTTATTTGAACCATTTTGGACATTACAGTTTTAGTTTTTTTATTTTGTTTATTTTGTACCATTATTTTAAAGAAACTGGATATGGTTTGTTGTGCATGAAACCTTAATATTTTCAAAAATGAAACATCATTTTCTGAAGCAAAAAAGCAACAAAAATGTCATGACATTCTAAGAATGAGTCATTGTATATTATGATGCCATTTTCACAGTATTTGGTGAATTAATAAATGGTGAAAGAACATGTAAATGTGTTTCTTTGGAATGACATTTGTCCCAAGACAATTTTTTTTTTGTTTCACTAACAATTCAAAAGAAGATGACAAACAATACACTCAACATCAGAGTGGCCTGGGCCGGGAAAAAGCCAATGGGAGCACAGTGACGATCAAAAAAATAAAAGGGAGAGAACACAAGTGTGGTTGTAGTATCAAAAAGCAAAAGTCCTCTTTGTAGCCTTTGAAGCCAGTCGCCATGATCTCAGTGACAGTAAATACTGATCCTTAATTAAAGGAGGAAGAGCGATCCATCTGTTAAGCTGTTAAACAGCTCGATGTCGGCCTACACTAGTGAATTTATCGCACCACAGAGCCCTGGGGAGCCATGACTGACCACATGATCATCTATCAGAGTGTAGATGTGCAGCGTCCTCGTACAGTAGCTCTCACACAGAGATTGTAGCAGGCCAAACACTCGTTTGGCTGGTTCATCAACACAAACCTACTGTACAGTATGTCATGCAACAAAACCAAAAAAAACTCAGCATGCTGTGTGGTTTATTTTTTCCAATATACTGTCACACAATGGCAAAACCCAAACATTTAAACCATTTATAATTTATCCCTTTTTGTTGGCTTTTTGCTTGCTAGTTTCCACAAATTGTCTTTCACAATAAACTTGGAATCAAGGTGTTATCTTGTTTAGGCTTGTGTAAAATATAATAACAGTCAAACTAACAAACTGTACACATAAATAATCTGCTTTGTATTTTTTTATCAAATCAAAATTTCCGTTTTTTTATATTAGGTGAGCAACTTCCTAACTCCTTTTCTTAAAACCTTAACAGATCTGTATTCTGATGTGGAGTCTGGTGGAAGGAAAGGTGGAGAATACTGCACTACATTGTTTGCCAACAGTGTCAGTCAGGAAATTGTGCCAGTGAAAATCAACCTTCTTCCACCTGTGGTACACAAACCTGCAGGCCATCGAGAACTCACTAGAAATTAATTTCCTTGTAATCTCAATGCAGAACTTTCCTGGAAATCATCCCACAGATATGATTTTCAGTCTCATTTGTGTATCTCATGTGTTTGGAATAACTATCTATCTATAAAAAGCTACATGTTGTGACAATGCCTAAACAACAATCCTTGTGACTCTGAATTGCACTTCACTCTAATAACAGAACATCAGCAAACATCATCAGCGTAACCGGCCACATTTCCATCAGAGGGATTATTGAGTGTCCTGATAACAGGAACACTGCACTGAGCGAACACGTAGTGCTATCGATCATGTTGTTGTTGTGGATGTCCTGTGTGTGTGTGTGTGTGTGTGTGTGTGTGTGTGTGTGTGTGTGTGTGTGTGTGTGTGTGTGTGTGTGTGTGGGGCGGCACTAGCCAGCGTCCATCCACAAGAGGGTGTGTGTGTGTGTGTGTGTGTGTGTGTCTGCGGTCATGGACAATAACACTTCTCACAGTAATGGGCGGCCCTGAGAGGCAGGAACTGGAGTGACATATTTGGGCAGATATTGAATTGTATCAGCTCTGCTCCACGCCTCTCTTCCGGCCATGAGTTTGATTGTCAACATGTGACCTTTCAAAGAAATTCATTCAAGTCCCACTACCAAAATGTCTGCAGAGCCAGTATTGCTATTACTTCAGTGTTAAACACTTTTGTAATTTGACAATTTTGCATTTATTTCAGGTTCAAGAATCCTACAGAATATTATTCAATCAAAACATTGCAAGACATTTTGGAAACACATGATCACAAATTAACACTGGTGATATTTAATCTTAAGGGTACTATAAAAAAAACAGTATTTAAATAATCCTATGAAAAGGCATTATCTCTATAGATTTATCTCTGACCTATACAGTATGTCAAGCTTTGGCTGCGGACTAAGTTAATAAAATCCAACTCAAAGTGTTTAAATAAAATGAGATCTATTAATTATTTTTTAAATTCTAATGTAGGTTGTCTGATCGAACATCGCAGGCATCAACTAAGAGCTGTTGTCCTCCTAAAGGCACAAACATTCAGGCATGATTTTACAGCTTTCAGGGTCAGAGGTCAGCAGAAATGATCTGGAGCTGTGGATGTACAGTAGCCTGGGGTCTTTGTGGCCCCTGTGTCCTGAACCAGCAGATGGGCTGTGAGTGCGGAGCGTCTCGAGGTCAACACAAACACAGAAGCCTCCCAGAGGACAGCCACTATGTAACCACACAGAACAACTGGATGGAAGTACAAGCACAACAGACATGTGGACGGCTGTGCGCAAAACAAACAAAGGCTAAGGCAGAGTGCTGTAAATTACATTATATGAATGTTATTTATCACAACTAGGAACACACAGCTCACAGCACCGCTTAGCTCTATAGGTGCAGACTAAGCGTGTGCAGAGAGGACAAAGAGCTTTGATCGGATTCCACTTTCGCTCCATCCCGAGTGGACGTCCATTAATATTCCTCCTCCAGTTACATAAGCCTGCCATACAGAACATAATGTCATTATGCTGCCCTAAGGGATATGGGCAGATATACTGTTGAGAATAGTGGCTGTGATTTCTCTCAGTAATCACTGCACTAATGCAGATTCTCACTGACCAGAATAACTATCCCTCCATCTTATCTCCACAGGCTGAAGCCTAAAGATACATACACCCTAATTGTCATAGTTTCCCCCATAATTAAGATGTGTTACTCTTAAGTTGTATGCTACTCATAAACGTAAGCAGTGACATGGCTACAACCAAATCATCCAACATTTTACAACTTCAAATTTACATTTTGTTATGGAAAACTAAAAGAGTAGCAATAAATGGGAGTTGGGAGAAAGTAAAAGTAAACATCATTTTGTGTTCAAGAAATGTTTTTCAGTCTCAACATAACATAAGATCAATGAGGTTGGGAATTACTGATCCAAACCTCTTAATTTAGAGGTCAAATCCAAAGAAGGCCAAATTCTGATGATAAAACATCGTTAATTAAGTAGTGTATAATTGGTCAAGTCACTCGAGAAAAAATGATGGGGAGACCGGCCGCTAGAACCTGCAAAGTAAGGATCATGGTACCACGCCATGTCAAGTGGCCATGTGTTTTTTCAGAATCAGGTTGTATAAGCATACTCATTTACGTTTTCTTTTTATGAATACTAACATTAGATATGTCACATAAGAGATATATATATATATATATATATATATTGAAGAGAGTTAAGCTTGCTTAGCCCCGTACCAACGTCTGACAATACAGGTGTTTAGCTTCAATGGATGTTTTTATTAACATTGCTGCTTTCCCTGACCTCAGAAAACCACTTTTTGTTGTTTCATATCTTTATTACTTACTAATTATAAAACATTACTACAAAAAAAGGACAACAGTCTATTTGCAGTTAAACAGGCAGTTGTGCTGTCGTGATCCAGTGAGGCAGATAAAACCCAGAGATGTTTGGTTAAAGCATTCAGTAGACCTTTTGAATTGTATGAGCCCTCACATAACACCCACACACCACAGCACTCAGAGCCAATCGATGCAGACAGAGAGGGCAGGGTGGTGACCGAGAGAGTAGAAGAGAGACACAAAGACAGACAGGGATAGAAAGGCATTGAACATGCAGTAGATTAGTGTTGTTGCTGCCCTTGGGCAACAGAGCATGGAGGACAATTAGCAGCAGGAGAGACCATTCTGGCTCTGATATCTCTCACAAATAAATACATACTCTTTATTAAATCATAGCCTTCGACACCTGCATGCATCAAGTGAAGAAAACTGCAGGCAAGACAAAACGGTTTGTGTTTAAGAGGAAATGATGACTAAACCTCTCCTGTGTGAGGCCTGCGCCCTTCGCTGTGATTATATAACTGAAGTCCAGTCAAGTTACATCTCACTGTCGGGGTTTCAGACACTGCAGATCAGTCAGTCTGACTAAGGGAGCGGAAATGTATCAAAATACACCTCTGAGTTTCAAGGTATTCATATTTTGACAGAACAGAGAAAGACTAAACTAAGTGCAGCTGAGGAAATAGTGAGGAAGAAAGCATTATACTTTGTTAGGAAATAGAGCAGAAACTCGCTCCATATCCATGTTGAGTGTTAAATCCATGAAATGTGTTTATGTCCCAGGGCTGCTGTACACCCTTTTTTATTATTGAAGATATTAAACCCACTGCCACATACATAAGCCCC